TTATACTTAATCCTTTCTAAGTCGTTGGCTGGAAAATCCATGCATTGGGGAAGGGAGCAGGAGTGGTGATCTGTTTCTTTTGAAGTTGTGGTCGGAAATTATATTGGCTGTGGTTAGTGAATTGCTACCGGCCACGTCCCCATGTGCTTTTCTAATCAAAGGCTTGCCCTCTTACTTTTCCCATGGTTCCCCCCATCCCCCAGCTCAGTGTTTAGAGGTAGTGCAGCTAGTAGGACCTGGAGATGCTTCCAGAGACCCTGTGAATGTTATCCATTTGCATCCATGTGACCAAGGATGTGAATGTTATCCATTTGCATCCATGTGACCAAGGAGGGGGCAATACATTTTCAGAAATCGTTCTTTGTGTTCACAGGTGCCTAACATGCCTGCCGCAGCAATGCAGGCCGGAGGCATGCCAGGACCAAGCGTACAAGCAGCTGGCCAGCCTGGAGGGTTCAGTCCTGGCCAAAACCAGGTAACACCCCAGGATCATGAAAAGGTAAGCCAAACATTGTTGCCTTCTTTGAGTTCTCCATTAAAGAGGCAAGCAGTAGCGGTCAGCAGGAAAGGGTGGCAGCGCTTACGTGACCTCTCATCACAGGGGAGGCAGCGTAGTTCAGATGCCCTGGTGGAGCCAATCCTGCACTCCCACCAGTGTGCCTCCACCTCATCACCCCTTCCTCCTAGGACTCCCCAGTAGCACCAGCGGCAAGAGGCCAGGAAAGTGCTGCTGGCCACTGCTGGAGGCAAAATTGGTGGCAGTAGGAGCAAGGTGTTTTCAGTGGTGGCTTCAAGGCTCCGGAATGAGAAATTGTTGTAGAGTGCATCCCTCAACTTACAACACAATGTGCTTTGCAGATCTTTTCAAACTAGCTTTTGGCATGTAATATGCTGCCCGTGTGTGGTTATTAGTATTTTTTTATTTTTTAGTGTAATTCAGTTGCCAAATCCTTTCTAGGAAAAAAACAACAATTGGTCTGAATACACCCTTTTCAGTTTTTCTCATCTCTTCACAGGCCGCACTCATCATGCAGGTCCTCCAGCTGACGGCAGACCAGATAGCTATGTTGCCTCCAGAGCAAAGGCAGAGCATCCTGATCCTGAAAGAGCAGATACAGAAGTCCACCAGTGCCCCTTGATCTGCACTCTCTGGGTAAGAGGGGAGCTGAGAAATGGTTGTTCAGCAGTCAGATTAAATCAAAAACAATGAATATTTGGTGTTATGTTGGAGGGGATGCCAGGAAACCCGGAATTATGATCACGTGTGGTGGGGGTGTAAATATGTACAATTTTTCTGGCAAAGGGTGTTTAAGGAGATAACAGAAATCATTGGGTTAAAGCCAGGCATCCCTAACCTTCGGCCCTCCAGATGTTTTGGACTACAATTCCCATCATTCCTTACCACTGGTCCCATTAGCTAGGGATCATGGGAGTTGTAGGTCAAAACATCTCAATTTACGATGGGGTAGAAGGTTCGCAGGCTACGAAGGACTTGCTCACAAATTTATTGATAGCTTCATGAATTATGATAGCTAAAAAGTGGAAGGGGCAAGCAGAATATAAAATGGGAGAATGGTATAAAGGGGTGTGGAATATAGCTATTAATGATAAATTAACATGTGCCATTAAGATAAGATGGGGAATACACAGGAAAAATTATTTTGAGGAGATATGGAAGGTGTTTGTAGAATTTGTAGTGTTAAAACGGAAAGGGGTCAAACCATCGCAAGAGGTGTTGAAATTTTGGGAGGTTGGATAGTAACAATGGTATGGTCTCGGTGGTGGGGTGCACATTTTATTCATGATCGTTACTTTGTCAAAAGAAAAAAAATAGAAATTGTACTGCCCAGGCAGCTCTAGTTCTCTCAGAGTAAACAAAGTGAGAAACCCCCATTGCCTTCTGTTTCCGGTGCTGCGCTCTCCTGTCAAAGCCCACCAAAATAAAGGGAGGTGTGCAAGCACCCCTGCTCTCATCTTCTCCTGACCATTTCCATGGTTCTTGCACAGGAGAAGGCCTTGGAGCATTGTGCCTTTGGGTGGGTGGGTGGAGGGAGGTTGGGCCCACAATCCTAGATTTTTATGAAGGAACAGCAAAGAGGCACAGTTATTTAATATGACTCTGCCGCAGCAGCGTGTTTCTGTTGCACTTCTGCAGGAGCTTTCATATGGGGGAAACCATGCTGGGAAAGCCCAAGGAAAATGATGGCAGGCACGGAATAGAGGCATGCTGGCTGTAAAAGATCTGGTGGAGAGTCTAGCCAGCAGCCTGAGCAGAAGCAAGGCACCACCCCTGACTTCAGGCAGCTGCAAACCAATGCATGCCCAGACTTTTTCACAACCTTCTAGGCCCCGGCACCTCTCAGCACTCAATAGTGCCTAATTGCACTGATGTCCTTCACAAACTTTTGCCAAGTTCTCTGCAGTTTTAACTCTTGCCCCTTGTTCCACCAGTTCTGAGTAGGTTGAAAAGCTGTTTCCCCGTCTGCTTTCAGGGATCCACCCGAAATCCCCATTTAGGTGCTTTTCTGCAGGAGATTGGTGTGATGGGAGCACAGTCCCTCTTCTTAACAGAATCCTCTTTGTTTTCTTAGGTTTGGAAAGTTGCCTAAGATATGTTGAAAATGGCACTGAAGACTTACTTGGATGCCCTTTCTTTTCCTGAGCCTAGAGCAGAATTTTATTTCAATTTATCTTGTTCAGTTCTCCCCCTTGTTCTGTTTACTTCCAGATTCTTGTTCTGTTTACTTCCAGATTAAAAACTTGTCCTGGATTTGAGTGAAACCCCCATGGCTTTATTGTACAACTGCATTGCACTCATCAGTCTCTTCTCCCTGTTTCTTGCAGGGCAAAGATCAGCTTTGGTCTTCACAAAGCCATTCTTTCTCTTTTTTATAGTGTATTTATTGATTTTCATAAACATGGGAAAATACAAAAACAAGAAAAAAATGAAATATGCTGGGGGGGAGAGAGAAACAACATAGATTACAAAAAGACAAGGAGTTGCCAAAATATTTTCATTCCAGAATAGATGCTCTGTTGATGCATATGTATTGAAGGCAGATGATAACATGTTTTTTTTTTTGTTATTATGTAAGAAATAAAAAAATCAGATAATTCTTCACATTGTCTGTAGTCTTGTTTTCCTTCTAGCCTGCGAGATCCATTCTGTGAATAGCTTTCTAGTAAAGGATTTCCAGTTCTCAGAAATGACCAGTCTGGCTGCAGTCACAAAGTGCACAACAAGAATCTTGGAAGGTGTTTATAACAGTTGAATTGAGCCTGAGCAGCCTGTTTTGGATCAAGTGATATGTCATATTTTGCAATATTAACAATGTCAAAAAAGAATTTTAAAAAGCATTAGGACATTCCCACCATATATGGGCAGTATTGGCCTGGGTTTGCACATCCCTTCCATCCCTTTTATCACTTCCTCTTCCCAAAATTCTGCATAGTATGCCACTTATGAATAAGTTTCAGCATAATTTCTTTTACGAATAAAAAGATGGGTTTCACAATTGGAGATACCCACATAACATACCTCCCCCCCCCAATCAATAATGTTTAAATCAGCCTCCCAGCATTTCCTCAAGTCACCAGTGATGGAAGACAGAATCTTACATCTTTTAGAGCAGAGCTTGCCAAACTTCTCATGTTGGTGACACACTTTTTAGACATGTATCGCTTTGCAAAATGGTAATTCAGTTTTGCATCATTTCGAAACACAGTAATTTAGTTTTACTAGGAAACTGGGAATTAAACTAACCCCTTTCCAGCCCCAGGAGAAGCGTGGGAAACATTCGCGTGACACAGTTTGGAAAGCTCTCATTGTTAAAAATTAAAATGAGAGTTTCAGTTGCGTGACTTGATCTCAGGATGATTTATTAAATAAAGAACCTGGTGTATAAAGAACCAATTAGGTGGAATAGGCAGAACGTTTCTCTGGATGGCATCTGATAAAGGAGTTGCTCCTCTATAAAAATATTTAATGGTAAAACCCAGCTTTCCCACTGTCAAACATTTTGCGTAACTTGTGAAACAAGTGATGGTCTACCAAAGGTGTCATCGCAGACACTGGAGGAGCAGGTGTCTTGGCCCAGTATCTCCAAAGAGACATACCCTGTTTCAGGAAAGAGTTGGATAAAGAATCCCATGAAATCACACTCCTCTATATCAATCTATTGCATCATCCACCCTGCACTAGATTAATATTCTCCCATGGTGGTTTAAGCACCAAAGTAAAAGCTAATCCAAACAAGGAACACAGCACTTCTGGAAAAGGGAACTTTTTACAGCCTGCTGAGAGAAGTTTGTTCCGTGACTCCTGAGAATGCTATATTGTGTACTCATTCTCTCTTAATATGGCATGCTATTAAGAGGACGTTATCGGGGCTGGTGAACGCCCACTTCTTCCATACAGTACTTTTGTGAATTCGAATGGGTCCTATTTACTGAGGCCCAGGAGCTCAGGTGAGAGATGGTTGAGAAGCCCATAAACATGGAGGGGAAGGGGAAACAGAGACCAAAACATGTAGCTGATGCTTGAGGATGTTTACAAAAGCAGGCTTCCCTGTACCCAGAATCAATGGCCCCTTTTTAAGACTTGTGCGGAGGTTTCCCATTCTTTTAATGAATGCACATAGAGCAAAGCCTGCCCAACATGGGTGCCACCCACTCTACATATGTTAGCTTGAGGCATGGCAGCACTGGAGTCCAAAGCATCTCTCCCCACCGGCCTTCAGGCTGCCAGCCAAGATCGTTCTGCTCCTTCCTCAGCTATCCCAAGCCTCACGACAAAGACCCAAAAATTATTTGTGGTACATAACTTCCAATTCCCTTGGCAACCATATAAATCCCTCTCTCTGTTCACACCTCTGGGCAAGAATAAAGGACAATTCTCTTGGGCTGCCAATGGCCATCAAGGGCTCTCTGAACAGTAATTTCAGGAAAGTCCTGGCAGTATGCCCACCTCCAGCACTCAAGCAAACACAGCCAGGAACTTTGCTCTCTCAGAAAAAATACACACTATCAGGTTCTTGGGCTGCGCAGAAAGCAAGAGAGAGGCAGAAGGAAGAAAGGATCAAGACGGGAGTGAAACTGACAGGCTTCTTTCAGGTAGATGGCACCCATACATGGCTGCTTGCCAAGGGACATGGCTGTATAGGGGAACACAGTGATCCTGTATAAGAAGTGCAGACTCATTTACCAGTGGTACCATCCATGCAGAAAGAAGTATCTGTAGATTTCAGGGAACCTCCAAGTTAGCAAAAGTCCTTTCAGGGTGGGAGGGATACTAAGGAGGGGAACCTAAAACAGTGCAATAAGGTCTGAGTGTGCTCAGTGACTGACTTCAAGGTGGGGAGGGATAAAAAACTGGGAGGAGGAAAACTGGAACGGTGTGTCCTGGGAAAGGGATGGAAACCTGAAGAGGGGCAGGTCACTCCACAACATTTTGTTGCATGCTTGATTTACAGTATATTATTTCTTTTCATGCTCCACCAGGTGATGGATCACAAAACTGGGTGGGAAGGTATGGAGCCCATCAAGCGCACAGAGCTGGTGGACGTTGACGGCATCCCTCTTCTCAAAAACACAGCAGATAACTGGCAGCGCCTTTGGGCCTTCAAAGCTCGGCCCGATGACCTTCTCATTTGTACCTACCCCAAAGCAGGTAAATGGGGAGATGAGATCTCAACAAGGGGCTTTGTCCTGGTGGTGAGGAGGCAACAACATGGGGGGGGGGTTGGAGCTGTAGAGCATGGTGGATTGGGGGGCCAATGGGTGAATGATTGGATCTCCATATTTCTCCTCCAACCCTTCCTGCCAGGGACTACCTGGATACAGGAAATTGTGAGCATGATCCAGCATAGAGGAGACCCTCAGAAATGTGACCAGGTCCCCATCCATCAACGGATTCCCCTCATAGACATGTTCCCTCCAAAACATTTCCCCCGAGGTGAGTAATGGGTGCTGCTTCAGAGAGACAATGGATGAGAAGTGAAGGGTTTCTATTTTTTATTTTGATTTTTCATAATGTTTATACATAACAAACATATCTGTTCATTGAACCTTCGGACCTCTCTGCATCCCTCCATGGGTTCTGTTTCTATATTTCTGTATCTTATTCCTGCATCTTTTACTATAATCTATCTAATATGTATCCATAGTTTCCAAAGTTCACGTGAAGGGTTTCTTATTCTTACCTCTAGGCCAGTTGTCACCCTCTGGTGTTTCAGGCTTGGAACAAGCAGAGACAATACCTTCTCCGCGCACACTCAAATCTCACCTCCCAGTCCAGCTGCTGTCTCCTTCCTTCTGGGAACAGAATTGTAAGGTCAGAGCAAGTGGGGCAGGGTCAATGGGGTCAATGAATTTAACCTAAATCGAGGTCTAGTAAAATCGTTGGCTCAGTCCCCCGCAATGTGAAACACAAATGAGAGGAGAAGGGGCCTATGAGCAGGTGAAGAGGCTCAATATTATGGACCAGCCATGTTTCATTTGGGTGTTTTCAGGCGGGTTGGAGTCCTCTTCCTCAAAGGGCACCAGGTGGAACAAGGTGAGTGAGTGAAAAGCTTGATGTTCAGACTCCTGGGTTTCCTCCCTCTTTCCTGCAGATCATCTACGTTGCCAGGAATGCCAAGGACAACGCAGTCTCCTACTTCCATTTCTACCACATGAACAAGGGGTTGCCAGAGCCAGGAAACTGGGACGAGTTTCTGGAGAACTTCCTTGCAGGAAAACGTGAGTACAGGTAGCTACAGAAATACAAAATAGGAGGAAAGAAAGTCTGGGTCAGTCAGAGCACTCTCTTGGTCTAGGGCCAGGGTGTCAAGTTCTCACCCCCAGCAGTTTTGGAGGGGTTTGGAGCCTACCAGAGGAATCTTTTGTGAATCTGTAAAGCTCTGTACCATTTTTCTTCCAAGCCTGAAATGTTATGGGATATATTTAGGGGAGAAGAGTGCAAGGCAGATTAACATGCATAGGGTAGTCATGTGGCCAATTTTACAGAAGACAGCCCTCTGTTTGAAAGCATCCTCTCTCTGAAGGGCTGTCCACTCCATCACTGTCCCTCAGCCCAACCTACCTCACAGACTTGCTGCGAGTATATAATGTTCAGGGGAGAGTCATGCACACCAGCTTGCACTCCTTGGAGGAAAAGGTAGTGACAATGTAATAAATAAGAAATAAGCTTGGTTTCAGTGCTATTTTTCTAGACAAATAGGTGCCGGAACTCACCATGAACACCTCCCTCTTTCTCTTAGAATAGCAATGGCACCCACCTGAGAGTTTCCGGAACCTACCTAAGAGGTGCCAGAACTGAGTTCCAGCAAGTTCCCCCTGAAAAAGCCCTGTTTTGTTTAAATATTAAGACCCATCAAAAGAGAGAGTAGGAGGGGACTTTAGGTTGCTATTCAACAGCTGGCACCTGGAGGGCAGACTTTGCAGGCACATAGCAGGTCTCCTGGTCACTGCCTTCCCTAGTACAGTGAGATACTGCTGGTCTATCACAGTAATAAACTGATTGTACTTCTGTTTAAAGGAATTAGTTCTGATGCACATTAGTCACCATATCGAAATTTCATGCAGATTAGTGCCATATTTTCTGCTCTCTCTCTCTTTTGCATTTGTGATTCAGTCCCTTGTTTTGGGCAGTGTGGTCATCCTTTCCTCCTGCTCTTCTCTTTCTTTGCAGTTGTCTGGGGCTCTTGGTTTGACCATGTTTGTGGCTGGTGGGAGGCCAAGGACCGACACCCAATTCTGTACCTCTTTTATGAAGACATGAAAGAGGTAAGCAGTTTACATGCATGCATGTATGCATCGAGTGGGAACCAAGCATGAGATGGGGCAGGAAAGACACCCTTTCCTGGGGCCAAAGGAGATTTGACCCCTTGGTTGAAAGGTTATTGCAGGAGGGGAGAACTGCGTGTTGTGCTCTAACACTGCGAGCAAGTGGACAGTGCATCCCATGTTGTTCATTCACAGTAAACCACAATAAGCCAGGAACAAAGGTGCCTACTTTAATAAAATAGTTGGAGGGTGGGGCAGGTAAGCCATGCCCCACACAATTGATCATAACACACACACGATTTGAATTATAATGCCCATCAACTTGGGGGTGTGTGACTTCAAACATTTTATTGGGGTGGCCAAAGGGACCTTGTCACCAGGAGTTGGGTCCTATGACCAGGAGGTCCGGTTTATCGTCATGTGAGAATGTGGCCAATGAGTCTGGTGTTGTAAGCTTGCGACTTCAGGGCCTGACTCAATCAAGAAGCACAATCACAGCCCGAATCTTCCCTGACCACAGTTTCATTTCTTCCTTAGGATCCGGCCCGGGAAATCCGGAAAGTAGCCCAATTTCTGGGCCTACAACTCCCTGATCCAGTTGTGAACCAGATTGTGCAGCATACAATGTTTGAGAACATGAAACTAAACCCAATGACTAACTACAGCTCCATTCCGTCTTTGATCTTTGACCAAACTGTGTCACCCTTCATGCGAAAAGGTGTGTTGGGGTGAGGGACAGGAACAGTGCTGAGTTCCAGCTCATATCAGAGGGAATTTTTTAGAAGCACTGTAGAAGTACCCCTTCAGAATGGTAAAGTTAAAGGTCAGTTCATTAATGCTGCATGTCCCTTGTGAAGAAGCTTCTAAGTAAAGTTGGAGAGGATCTTGTTTCCCGTAGTACGATCTTGGCCATGCAGATTGATATTGTCAGACAGTATAGAACTATATTAAGTGATGTGAGAAAACTAGTTTTTAGTCAGCTTCCAGGCGACTGCAGGAAAGTAATGCTTCAACAGCCCTGGCATGGAGATGAAATCCAAGACTGTCGTGCAGTGTGTGCTCTAGGCAGATCATAATATCTGTTTTAGGAAGACAGTGACGATGCCTGATAAAAATGAGTGTTTACCCTAGGAAACTTCCCAGAATCCTCTGCAATCCAGTTGGGATTCTGTGGGGATATGTTGAAGGAAATGATAGACAAATGATAGGAAGAGAGGGTCCCATCTAGACAGGAATACATTAGATTAGAGTAGGAGGAAAAGCAGATAGGAAACTAATTTTTTTCTGGATCATGTCTCCGACCTACAGGCACCGTAGGAGACTGGAAGGAGCACTTCACAGTGGCACAAAGTGAGCGGTTTGATGATGCCTGTGAACGGTTATTGGGGGGCAGCAACCTGATCTTCCGCACACAGTTATAAGAACATCTCCCTGCTACCAGTTGAGACTTCCTCCCTAACATTCCTGGAGCGGACATTTATGGGGTTCTACCCTTTGTTATTTCTGCCCTCAGTACACCCTCTGAATTTCGTGCACACAACTAAGTTAGGTCCACTGACTTCAGTAGGCCTACTCTGAGTAGAAGCTGGAAATAACCCGTTAGATTGAACCTTCTTTCATTTGATTCAGTTTTCTTTGCTTCCTTTAAAGTGGGGGGGTTTGGGGGGAGGCTGCTTTGCCAAGCCCTGTAAGGTGGGATCAGCTGTCTTGGCTCCTTTCTTTCTCCCTTCCATGTCAATTGACCAGGAAGGGATAAAGAAAGGTGTGTTTTTCAGTCAATCATAAGTTTATTATTCTAGCCAAGTTCATAGCAATATTATACAGAACATACATCCATGATATAAACCAACAACCATGGTGTAAAGAGGGGGGGAAAGAAGACTGGATAAATGCTAGGCATGAAATGACTGAAATGGCATCATAGACCGTGCAGTGATATCAAAGAAATGCTGCATAGCAAATATATGACCAGCCAGCTTTTTATGAGCAATGCCCCAAATATTGTGGATGTCTTCCAGAAAATCGTCACAGAACCTAGATCCTACCTGATACATTTCTACAATTACTAACAACACACTATAACACCTTGGCTGGTTTGAGGTTGATCAGGAAGCGCATTTCAAGGGCAAAAATATATATGCAATAGATCTATATTACGTATGCAGTATGCAGAAAACCAAGTACGCAAGCCTCAACTGATGCTAGGACAAAATGTCAAGTTGCTACAATCTATCTTGGGGGATTATGGGATGCAGTCCTTGGATCTTCTATTCACTGAACTGTATTGTGTAATTGTGTAAATGTATGTGTTTTATATGTTAATAAAATTTAAATTAAAAATTAAAAAAAGAACTGTATTAACTCCTAAAAATATGTGTTTCTGTAGTAAAACAGGAACCAAGGTCCCTTGCCGTAATATGAATCGCTCAAGGGCCCTGCCCCCGAGAGGAAATGCCGGAGGCATATTACCAGGGGGTCGCATGGCCTCTCTGCAGGGATACTTGCTATAGAGGGTTAAAGAACATTGGGTGGAAAATCAGGCCCTGTGGCAGTAGATGCAACACGATATCCTCACATATGAACAGCCGCACACACATTAGATCACCACACTATTACGAAATCTAAACTGTAACCTCAGAAAAGTACTGGCAGAGCGCCCGCAACTCGCACGCCAGGAAGTTCAGTCAGGGACTTTGCTCTCTCCGAAAAACCCTCTCCAGCTGCGCAGAGAGCAAGAGAGAGGCGGAAAGGAGGAAGAAGCTGCTCACAAGAAGCTGCTTCACAGGAGTGAAACTGTCAGGTGGGCATCTCATTTGGCTTCCTTCAGATAGATGGCACAAGAGAGCAGTAGGCAAACATGTGGCTGCCTGCCAACGGCCACGGCTGTGTTGGGGAGGAAAGCACAAGGATCCTATACGCTAAGAGCAGTCTCGTTCGCCAGTGGTACCGCCTGTGCCCACGAGAGAGGTATCTGTAAGCTTCAGGGAACCTCCAACAGTCCAGTAAGGTCTGAGCAGGCTCAGGGGCAGCAAAGCACTGGCTGCCTTCAAGGTGGGAAGGATAAAAAAGGAGGAGGGGAAGGGAAACTGGGACGGTGTATCCAGGGAAATGGGGGTGACCCTGAAGATGGGGAGGCCACTCTGCAACATTTTGATGCAGGTTCGACTTATCTCATATTATTTCTTTTCATGCTCCACCAGGTGATGGATCACAAAACTGGGTGGGAAGATATGGAGCCCATCAAGCGCACAGAGCTGGTGGAAGTTGACGGCATCCCTTGCCTCAAAGACACGGCAGATAACTGGCAGCGCCTTTGGGCCTTCAAAGCTCGGCCCGATGACCTTCTCATTTGCACTTACCCCAAAGCAGGTAAATGGGGAGACGAGAAACAAGGGGCATTGTCCTGGTGGTGAGGAGACAACAATGTGGGGGGAGCTGTAGAGCTTGGTTGATTGGGGGCCAATGGGTGAATGACTGGATCTCCATATTTCTCCTCCAACCCTTCCTGCCAGGGACTACCTGGATACAGGAAATTGTGAGCATGATCCAGCATAGAGGAGACCCTCAGAAATGTGACCAGGCCCCCATCCATCAACGGATTCCCTTCATAGACCTGTTCCCTCCAAAACCTTTCCCTCATGGTGAGTAATGGGTGCCGCTTCAGAGAGACAATGGGTGTGTGTGTGTGGGGGTGAAGGATTTCATCCTCACTTCTAGGCTGAATGTCACCCTCTCGTGTTTCAGGCTTGGACGAGGCAGAGGTAATGCCCTCTCCACGAACGCTCAAATCTCACCTCCCAGTCCCTCTGTTGCCACCTTCCTTCTGGGAACAGAACTGCAAGGTCCGTTGGGGTCAATGGGTTTAATATAAGACAAAGTTTAGTCCTGGAACCTCTCTCAGTTTCTGTGCTCAGCCCTTGGGCTGTGTGAAACGCAAAGGAGAGGAGAGTGGGGCCTATGAGCAGGTGAAGAGGTTCAATATTATGGACCAGTCAGGTTTCAAACAGGTTTGGGGCCCCTTTTTCCTTGAAGGGCACTGCTCCCCAAAAAAATAAAAAGGAGGGGACAGAAAGTTCACAAGGTGGAACAAGGGATGTGAGTGGAAGGCTTCGCATTCAGACTCCTGGGTCGTCCCCCCCCCTTTCTGCAGATCATCTACGTTGCCAGGAATGCCAAGGACAACGCAGTCTCCTACTTCCATTTCCACCGCATGAACAAGGGGATGCCAGAGCCAGGAAACTGGGATGAGTTTCTGGAGAACTTCCTCATGGGAAAGAGTGAGTGGAGTATACATAAATACAAAACAGGGAAAAATAAAGTGTGCATCAGTCTGAGCAGTGGCGTAGCGTTGAGGCATCTGTTCATAGTCTGCATTTTAATCAAGGCTTATATTTTGATCAGATACCTGTATTCTTAAAATGAGCTTAAAATATATTTTAAAATATCTGTATCTCTCATGCCAGGCAGCATCTCTCATGCCAGGCAGTGAGTGCATCGGCAGATGTGCTCATCTTAAAGAGGGCCCCTTTGGTTTATTGGTTTATTGCGGTCATAAAAAGGCTGAGAAGCAAGGTCACTGACCTTACAAATTACAGAATAATCAAGTTGCAAAAACACAATTAAGCTGGTAAATAGTAAGAATATTGTGCCACAAATAGGACAAACGGCAAGAGCTAATGGAAACAGCAACTGGCTAGGGAAAGGGGGGCTTCTCTCTGAAGAAAGTGTTTTTAAGTTTTTTCTTACTGTGAACGTCTTTGCTTATAAAAAAACTATATATGTTATGTATTAAATATATTGGCTTAAATGTAATTATGCAAAGGATTTAGAAATTTAGATTCTTATGTTAGATTCTTATTTCATAGAATCATAGAGTTGGAAGAGACTACAGACCCTGCCAGGCAGGAAACACCATCAGAGCACTCCTGACATATGGTTGCCGAGCCTCTGTTTAAAATGAGATTAAAAACCATCTGGTTTGTAGGGAATAGGGAAAGAGGGGCCAAAGGTTATCTGGTAATTAAGGTGCCTTGTAGAGGTTAATGGCTACTTGTTTGCCATTTATAAATAGAAGAAAATATAGCTCTCTGTCTCCCATAAAAGGTAATAGGAAATGGGTGTATCTTTTATGATTGGTTCTAGCAATCAGCCAATAGAAAATTCAACCAGGCTGATTGGACAGAGGCAGCCAAAGGAGGAGCAAGGGTGCTGGGCTGAGGGAATATAAGTGCTGGCCATAATGGCAGGAGGCAGGCCAGAGCTTGGTAACCATATACCACTGTGCCTCTCATTTATTTGTCTGACAAATAAATTATTATTTTAATTTCTCTATTGCTGCGTTGAATATTTCATTCCAGCTAAGCGTTAACCACAAGCAGGGTGCTACAGCGTGGGGGGTGCAGGGGGGGCCGGCCGCACCGGGCGCAACATCTGGGGTTAGGGCAAATCCACAGGTTAGGGGGCGCAAATTACTTGCCTTGCCCCGGGCGCTGACAACCCACGCCAAGCCACTGAGTCTGAGCAAGCTTTCAGTCCAGGCCAAGACCTTGTTTGATCTCCTCTGCTGTATTAGAGAGGGATGAAAGCTACTGGTCCCCACACGAGATACACATTAGCAGAAGGAGGGAATTACGTACTCTTGTACTCTTGTACTCTCTGCAAAGCTCTGCACTGTTATAAGTTATATATAGGGAAGGTTATGTGAAAACCAGAGGCCTGTCCTATGTTTCAAATAAACCTATGATTGAAGGGCTATCCGCTCATAGTGTGGTTTAAAAACAAGGAGCCATCAAAGGGAGAATCTTAGAATTGTAGAGTTGGAAGGGACCCCAAGGCTCCCAGTATGTTTCCGAGCACAATTCAAAGTGTTGGTGCTGACCTTTAACGCCTTAAACAGCCTCGGTCCTGTATACCTGAAGGAGTGTCTCCTACCCCGTCGTCCAGCCCAAACACTGAGGTCCAGCGCTGAGGGCCTTCTGGCGGTTCCCTCCCTGTGAGAAGTGAGGTTACAGGGAACCAGGCAGAGGGCCTTCTCGGTAGTGGCACCCGCCCTGTGGAACGCCCTCCCAGCAGATGTCAATGCAATAAGCAACTTTTTTTACTTTTAAAAAACAACTGAAGGGGGCCCTGTTTAGGGAAATTTTTAATGTTTGATGCTGTATTGTTTTTAATATTCGGTTGGAAGCCGCCCAGACTGGCTGGGGAAACCCAGCCAGATGGGCAGGGTATAAATAAAATAATAATAATAATATCTCATTTAATCCCCTGCAATGCAGGAATATGTGGCTGTCCCATACAGGGATCAAACCAGCAACCTTGGCATTATCAGCACCATGCTCTAAACAGTTGAGCTATCCAGGCTCTAGGGTGGCTATATGCAGGAGGAGACTTCAGGTAGTTCACCAACATTTAACACCTGGACAGTGACCGAGAAGACATGGAGCAGATCATGTGGGGACAGATCCCCCCACTATATTGGGGCTCTATTGCATTTCTGTTTCAATTAATTAGTTCTGAAAAGTAGAGGGCAAAAAGTGGTGCCAGTTTGCAGAACATTTTGATGTGCTGATTTATGTGTGTGTGTCAGTATTTCTTCTCCATTTGCGTCTCCTTGCAGTTGCCTGGGGCTCATGGTTTGATCATGTCCGTGGATGGTGGGAGGCCAAAGAACGTTACCAAATCCTGTACCTCTTTTATGAAGACATGAAAGAGGTAAGCAGTTTACACCCACACACACGGTCCAGATGGAGCCTAAGCATGAAGTTGGGCAGGAAAGATGCCCTTTTCTGGGGCCAGGGAGTCAAGGGACATCTAACTCAAATTGCAAGCTTATTGAAATGTGGGGTGGGGAGATGGAGGGTAAATTGTGCCACCCCCAACATGGTGTCTTCCAAATTGGTTCAATATTGGTTCAAGAAAAAAAATAGGTATATAGAAAGGAGAGTTTCGGGCTCCAGGATTGAGGCAAGTACTCTTTGGTGAAAGAACCCCAGCAGAGATTTAAAATCACAAAATACACAGCAAACTAAAGCATGGAAATAAAGGTTGCTAGACCTTTTGAAATATGCTCTTGAGAGTTCCAAAACTTCCCTCTTCCCCTAGCATAGAAAAAGACCACATGCTTGGTAGCTTTAAAATGGTTTACTTACAAACTCTCCAAAGGTCAGATTCATCTGCTTTACCATACAGCATTCAGAAAAAGAGACTGGTCCCCTAGAGTTAGGCTGTGTCCAGATGGGAGCATTATCTTGCAACAAGGTCATGCTGACCTGATTTTCCTCTGTTTGCAATTGGCACCCACCCCTTTTTCTTACCCAACATATTCATTGCTGTCCTTCTACTTGCTGTCTCCACCACTGGGCAGAGTTTGTCAGAAAATACCCTGGGTATGCTTTTTTGGCTCTCCGCTTAATCACCCCTTCCCTTAATTAGCTGGCACAGTATTAAATTACAGTTTGCTTTGTGGGAGGCTGTTTTTGTTCTTTTCGTACAACCCTGATTTAACAGAACTGCGCAGGATCCGTAACCATAAGAACAGACTGG